TTTTTTTGTTTGATCCCGTTAAAAGATTAATCGAGTGGTTCCAAAAATGGGTTTTTTTAGGAGGCTATGATATGGAAGAAAAAGCCGCTAGAGCTTATGATCTTGCTGCACTCAAGTATTGGGGACCCTCCACCCACATTAACTTTCCTGTAATGCCTCTTGTTCCTTATATCTAATTTAATATTTCTTTATTGTAAATATCCTGCTTTACTCAAAGTGAATCCCTGTTCTGAGCAGTTGGAGAACTATCAGAAAGAATTAGAGGAAATGAAAAACATGAGCAGGCAGGAATATGTTGCTCATCTGAGAAGGCAAGCTCATTTTTACCATGTGTAGTAATCATTTACGACGTATTCGTTCCACCGTAAGTGGTCATAAACTAAAAGTCTAAACTGTTTAAATCGATTGTCTCTCAGGAGAAGCAGCGGATTCTCGAGGGGGGCCTCAATCTACCGTGGTGTAACAAGGTCTTACAAGTCTCATCAACTCAAGCTTTTCTAATATATGTGATCTTGATCATTTCACTTTCAACCTTTTCTTTTTCACTGAATCTGTGTCTAAAGTTCTCTGCTCCCGTTTTTGTTATATTGCAGACACCATCAACATGGAAGATGGCAGGCTCGGATTGGCCGAGTTGCTGGTAACAAAGATCTGTATCTTGGGACATTCAGTGAGTGCTTTTAGATCCTTTCTTTTTTTGAGTAAATGTTCTGGTTGAATATTTTGAATCTAGTTTCCTGTGTGTTGCACCTTACATGTTAAAGCTGCCATAAATAAGTCATATCCTAGAAAGAAATTGAGTTTCTTTCTTGCTTTGGGAATGGTAGGGCTCACATTGTAAACCCAACTCTTTAGAAACTTTAAGGATGTGTTTTGAGTCGCTTTGTAATTGTTTAATCCCTTATTCTTGTAGAGAGCAAAGATGCTCTTTTACAGATGCATCCAGCAGTACATCTTTTTTAATTTGATTTTTCAATTCTTGGTTAGAAGAAAAAGGTTGTAGTAACTAGTAGTGTGCCTTTGCTGTTTCAAACTCTTAAGGTACTCAAGAGGAAGCAGCTGAGGCCTATGACATAGCGGCCATAAAATTTCGAGGAATGAATGCTGTTACGAACTTCGACATTACGAGGTATGACGTGGAGAGGATTATCGCAAGCAATACCCTCCTCAGTGGCGATCTTGCTAAGAGAAAGCAGCACACAGAGTTTGATAATGAATCTCTTAGACAAAGCCCTGCTACTCCCAACAGCAACTCAGAGGCTATGCCTTTGCCAACCTCACAGAGTATTCATACTCAAAGTGAATCAGACTGGAAGATGGCTCTTTATCAGTCCTCTCAGCAGCTCGTTCCAAAACCTCGGTTGTCATCTGGGATAACCAATGATGGGTCACGAATAGGCCTTGAAGACTCGGCCAAATTGGGAGCTCACTTCTCTAATGCATCTTCAATGGTGACCAGCTGCAGCTTGAGCAGCTCAAGGGAGGAGAGTCCAGACAAGACAAGCCTTTCGATGGTGTTCGGAATTCCACAATCGACATCGAAGCCATTCGCTGCTGCCCCAGCTAGTAATATGAACTCCTCCTGGATTGCATCTGCCCAGCAGTTGAGAGCAGCAAATTGTATGAGCCAGTTGCCAGTTTTTGCTGGCTGGAACAATACTTAGGATAAAAGTCCATTTGCTCCTATTATAGCTTCTTCCATGTTAAAAAGAACTTCAACACTCCCAAAATCAGCCTTATCAGGTGAAAGTTTTTGTTGGAAAAATTCTAAGAGATGAGGAATATTTTAAACAGTAGACAATTGAAGTTCAAATGGGAATCTCTCTCTCCATCTCTGTTTTATTATTATTGTTTTGTTTTTATATTTTGTTATCAAATCATAATTGGGTTCAGCTTTATTGGTGTTTCTGAAGTACAAAAATGAACTGTGGATTGAGGGTGTGGCCCAGCAAAATATACAGAGCTCATGGATCAGCTCAGCTCAGCTCAGCTCAGCTGAGGCCTTTTGCTTTTAAAAGCCTTTGACCACAAACAAAAATCCTTTAGCAATCTTCATCCATAACATCATCATTACTGATTCCCCTCTTTTTTATATAAGCTTTTCTGCAAAGTGACAGACATTCCTTCCATAATCCGAAGAAATATATATAATATAAAGGAATTTCTTTTTCTTTTCTTTTCTCTTTTCAAGTGTAGGAAATTAGACAACCGTACCAGGATTTATCTTGTGTTTGGGTTACAGACATATTGGTCCATAATTGACAGAAAATTGTCTGCTTTCCATAGAAAGAACATGTGTTGTGTTAGAGAGAGAGAGAGAAATTAAAGGGAGTCCTTTTGCTCCAGAGTTACCCACTCACTGTTCAATCATGATGTTGGGATTTAAAGCAATCCCACAATGACAATCCTAATATCAAATTTTGAGTTATTATGATGACCAATCTGAACTCCCATCGTTTGTGGGCACGTACGTACCAAACTTCACACGTGGGGACTCAATTTTCCTTTGTACTTGCCAGTTTGATCATAAAATCATAATTCTCCCTCCATTTTTCTTTGGGTTTTAACTGCCAGACTATACAAGGAAATAATATCTCGAACAACTGAAGAGAGAGGAAAAAACGCATTACAAAACTGTCTTATTCAATATCAATCAAAAAATTTGGACAAAGAAAAAACAAACCGACACATAAAATTTGGACAACAAAGCAGCATGCATAAAACAAAAGGCAACGACAATTCATGCGGGAAAAAAGATTAGAGAGAGAAAAAAAAAAGTAGAAAGGCGTATGGCGTGGAGAGGAGAATTTGTAAGTCAAAAAGGGTAGGGCCATTTACCATTGGAGTTGGCTGCAATAGGCTTAGAGATCTCAGAATGTCGTTGTTTTTTGCATTGAAATTGAACCAGCAAATCAATAAGAAGAAAAAAAGGCAGTGTTTTTGACAATGGGTGGCGATTTTTCTTTGTTGGGGAGTTGAGAAATTGGGCATTTTTTGAGTTGAAAAGCTTCAAATGGTATTAGAATGGAATTTTGATGCCATTTGGGATTTGGTAGAGACGAGAGGATTTTTTTTGGTTGGGGGTGAAAAAGTTTCTTTGGATTTGGATTCATATCTCTTTACAGACTAAAAGTTGGAAACTTGCCGCTTGGAATATAAGGAAAAGGACACGTGAGTTCGCACATGGAGGTTGCAATTGAAATCCATGGTATTGGTAATTGGTTAACATAAAAGATACCTTGCGTTAATGGGTGAATAAGTTCTACTTTTTAATTAACTGTACCTTTAACCATCTCCATTCTCCACATTACGAAACTTGTCTAATAACCTTTTTTATTATTACTATTTATTTACTTTTTTTTCCTTTTAACTAAAAAACACAAATTAAGGTGGAGGGGTTCCAACCAGATGTTGATTTTATGTGATGGATTTGTTGAATTTCCCCACGATATTAGGAGAGTAAATTATCTCAAATAAAAAAGAGTACCACAAATAGGTGCGTTCCAAATACTCTAACAGGAGCTCATTGTCTCTGGGTCTTAATCATCATAATTAAAACATTAGCATAGTATACTGACTCTAGTTACGTGAGTGTTATTTACTTTGAAGAGGTGTTTTGTGTAATTGAGATAACAAATTGTGTGATTGTAATTATTTTTTACATAAATTTTTATTTTGTTGGTCGTAATTTTTTTCGATTTATAATTTTCCAGGTAAATTTTTTTGTTTTCTTTATTGTTATAATTTCTTTTAATTTTTCAGTTTTTTTTTTGTTTATTTTTACGATGGAAATGAGATATTTTCTCTCATTAAAATCATTATATCTATATAAGGTTAGATTTGAAAATAGCCAACCAGAGCATAGCCCAACACGTTAGATCTATGCATTCAGTCATGAGGTTGAGAATTTTAATCTTCATCCCTACGTAGTGAAAAAAAAAAGCTTGAAAAATGGGAAAATTAGTGATATCTGATTTTATAGTGTTTAAAGACCCTTCACCTCCCTAGATTAGGGAATATAAAATTGTATTTCAAATTAAAATATATTGTTGACTGAGTATAATATTTTGAAATCTGTTGTCCTATTAGAATAGAATTTATAGCTTGGATTATCCCTTGGTAGACTATTGGGATAGCAGAAATAGATTGACATTGGGCCCAAAGTGGTGCTATGATATCTGGGCTTAAAGATTCTGACCATCTGCGGGGTGGCCAAAAATAAGATACAAGACATAATTCCACCGAGTCGTCCGTGGGACAAATCAGTACCTAGTCTATTTAGAAATCATAATTAGGTAAGAAGATAGAAAAGTATACAATTTATATTCATAACACAAATTACTGGTATATCCTTAAGATTCATCTCAATATTAAATAATTATTAAAATTTATAATTGATAAATTGGGAGGTCAAATCCTTAAAATGTATTAATAATACTTTCCAAAATTAAAAAATCTCAAAACCTAAAAAACCTCCTCCATTTTTGAAACTCACTCCTTTCTTCTCCTCATTTTTCTTTTCTTCCTTCGATCGTCGGTTTTCCTTCCTCCGACCATCCGTTCCTCTTCTCCAACCGTCTGTCTTCCTCTCTGGCTGCTCTGCTTTTCTTTGTCTCAAGAGCATTTCATCTCCGGCCGCTTTCGAAAAGAGATTTCTTATTCTCCGGACGTTTCTACCTGCCTTCGTCTTCGGCCGACGTTTGCCTGCCTTCATCTCCGGCTGTCTCCATTTTTTTCAGTAGTCAGAGTAGTTCATCTCCAGATTGAAAGGTTTGCATTCCAACGAATGTTTTCAATTTCTGATTTAGTGTGAAATATTGTATATGTGAGAATATATAGTAGAGTGATTTGATTAGGATATATCTTATAACTCAACTTATATATATGCGGATATTCGTATATATACTATAGTGATTTTGAATGTATATATGCAGATATATAGGTGGATATATCTTACAACTCAACTTGTATATATGCGGATATGCAGATATATTCTATAGTGATTTTGAATGTATATATGGGATATATAAGTGAATATATACTGTGATTTTGAATATATTTTTTGAATATGCGGATATATGTTTATAAAGACTTCAAAATATGTTTATATAATTTTGAATTATCTTTGAAGATTGAGCACCAATGTGGGAGTGAATTGGGAAAATCAATTTTTTTGAACAAGTAAATTAAGATTTTGAATAAGTAAATTAAGGGATTTGTGTTGAAAATTAGTATGGGACCACAATAACTAAAGGTTATGATAATAATTTATGGAATTAAATTTTTTATATTTCAAAAAATAAATAACTATAATAAATGTAAATGTAATAAATAAAGATAAAATCAAAATTAAAATAAAATCTTACATGCAGAAAAAAATTAAAAAAATTTAAACTAAATAAGTTTTTAAAACAGTCATTCGAAGATATTATCGATCGTGACAGTATTCCAATTACGGTACGTGTCCACAGGAAATCCAATTAGTCGTGTTAGACGGATACCATTATCATTTATCTTAGGAAGTGAAGTGGTCCAAATAAAGAAAAAGAAAAACAAAAGAAAAAAGTTGCTGTGTGTACAATTAAATGGAAAAGCAGTATTCCACCCCCTCCTACTTTCCTTAAATGATAGTCTATGCAGCTTAAAGCTCATATTCACAAAACTATATTTTGAAAAGGTTAGCTAATTATCCAGTTAAACCATGGTTACGTTGGCAAAAAATAAAAAATAAATTTTGGAGTCCAAAAGTTGCAAGGGACGGACTAAACCATTGACTTTTGTGGTTGAGACTAGAGGCTTATCCAATAAATTATGTTTGGATTGACATGTTGGTAAAAATTGCATTTTATCTAATGTGTTTAGCTTGCTATTTTGGATTCAATCTATAAGGGATAGGACTTACCTAGGTATGGTCTATTAACATTAATTTTAATTGAATGAATTCAAAAAAAGTCACAAACACAAACATGGAAAACTATAGATTAAAAAAACCCAACGTAAAAGACATCAAAAACCATTTAAATTATATAACGAGACTATAAAATTAGCCAACTTATTTTATTAGGAAATATAGCCGTGTAGTACAATACAAAGTCACAAATTCAAATACCAAATATTAACTCAACTTCGCACCTTCAAATTACATAAATCTAACCTAAAGAATAAAATTGAATCCTAAAAGATTCAAGAAACAATCTTGTTATATACTCTATAATATACCGAATTTTCGGTTTTTTTTTTTTTGTTCTACGGAATGAATCGGCCAATACATGGCATCTTAGACACATGTAGTTAGAATTTTCAAATAAAAAATCCTAGGTTCTTGTTTTTACAATGAATTT